CGCCATCACGGTGCACACTGACTTGATGATATTCGATGTTTGGAGGCGGATTAACACTTCGTTATCTCAATGAAAGTCGTTATTTATTTCGCTGTCAGACAGTGTGGAAATCAACACTTGAAGTCGGAATTTTCATCAGACGTATCAAAACTACTTCAATGAAATATGGTACGCTTTAACATAAATATCCAGAGAATTAAAAAACTGATAAGGAATTGAATTGTTGAGTTGTTTTACTTATACTTTGAGCCCAGTGTGTAAGGAAGTTAAGACAGTCTGGTATCGTTCAGTTTCTACTGTTACAGTTTGTCAATTCTTGTATTCTACCCATTCTTCTCTATTGTTCCCCCATAATCTTTCCTGGGCTTTTTGAGACAGACTTTGTTACACTGCAAAGGGTACTAAAGGGTGTCATTAGAGCGAGTTGGGCACTGTCAAACTAAACTGTTAATACTGTTGTAGACAGACACTTGAACTCATGCAAGAAATTAGCAAATGTTATCTTGTCTAACTCTGAGCATCTTTATACATCACTCAGTTCTTGGACCTCATCAGGTAGGACTAGAAGTAACCATAGAAGACTATGTACTTGGATGACTAAGTGTAACAACTCTATGATACCTTATTTGGCACACATTTTATGTGAAGGCATGAAACTACTAACTTAACGCGAGACACCAAGTAAACTGCCCTATATATTCTTCTTTTCACTTTTATTTCGTTGTTAATATTTCCGTTTAGATTTTAATCTTACTTTTATATTCTTACTGAAATTGTTATCAATGTAAATGCCCTCTTGAGTATTCCCCCCATACTGTGTAGTTTTAAAGAGAAAATTAGGTAAGAAGAAGTGTTGGGAATAAAGCTATTCTTCCTTTTGAGTTCCGAGTGGGACCTAGGGCTTCAAGCTGTGAAGTTTCAGTAGCGATATTTTTTTTTATTAGGCGGGGTTGCTAGTCTCATGCCCGAGCCTCTCTCATCACCGGAATCACTACCAGTTAGGCGAGATTTAGGAGTGCGTAGGCCGAGAATAGAACCCTGGACCACGTATGAACATTCAACCTTTGGATCACCAACGCAATAGTTTAACACTTTAATTTTCTTGCTTATTATTTTTCTTCATCGTAACAGTCCCAGTTTTTATCTTCTTAATTAATTAAATTATAGGCTATATTATTCCTTGAATAAGACGTTGTAAAACTGACCCCATAGTTTTGATATTCTATGATTATTAATAATTTGAAAAAATAGCCTATCCTGCAGCTAAGCTCGTCCCCGTCTATCGAACAAGTTGCTTTTGGTGCAATCAAAAATCTATAGATATCCTTCTCATTTTAACTCCAACTGTATATACAAATTTACATGTATCTGCTGGAGCAGTTACATTGGAAGAACAGAAAGAAGGGCATATCTACGATTTTCTGAACATGTACCGAAAGGCTTATGTCTAAAGGGAACAAATGCTTTAAGCAGTGCCATCGCCAGGCATCTCCTTGACACGGGTCATGAGGTGGACGTCGAAAAGTCGTTCAAAATTATCAATAGGCAAAAGAGTTCAATTCTCCTTAAGTTTGCCGAAGCGATCTCCATCAAGCGCCTGAAACCTGATTTATGCATTCAGAAAAAAGCAGTTATCAGTCTTTCTTTGCCCTGGTAACTACATATTTTCACCTCTCTTTCATCTGAATACGTATTGCCAAAATGTTTCCATTGTGTATGATCATTATTGTTCGGAATAGTGTTTAATATTGCATATATATACATATTATATATATATATTATTACTGTATACATATACTGATCGATTGATTTTTGTTTAAAATGAACTCTGTGCAAGTATGTTAAAATCGTTTTTGTAGATATATATAATAATGTCTTTGGCCTGTAAGCAGCTGACGAGAAGGCAACGAAATAAAAGATGGTACCATTTTATTCTGCTAAAACTGTAGTTCTTGCTATGTTCAAATAATTAAAAGTGATGGCTATTATCAAAACTTCAGGCATCCTCGAAAAAAGGAAGTCAAAAAAGTAATTAACAGGATCCTAATCACTTATCTGTCTGAGATAAAAGGTTCGTCGTTAAATGTGGCATCAAATAACTCAAAAAGGTTTTGGAACTCACTAATTTGTCCTCCTAAACAGTTTACTATCTTCCACTTGACAGTATTTCATTGACTAGTTCTCCTATATATAAGAATTTCATTAACCTCTATCTTTTCACAGTTAGTTTTTCTGAAACACTTTATTCACTGGAAAACATTTGTTGGAGAGGTGTCCAACTTTGATGATAGCTCAGTTTACAGTAAGTAAGATATTCGATTATAACCTATACTTGTGCTAAAAGAACATCTCAGTCAAGCTGGATTCATTCAGAATGTAGGACGACTAATAAATTGAAAGAAATGTGCTCATTTTTAGGAAAAGGTATCATACATCCTAGAAGAATTACTCGTTTAATTAATTTGTGATGTCATGCTTATGCCTAAAACACTGGAAAATGAACACAAGCTAAAAGTCTATGGAAGACTCTTCAAGAATAACTAATTTCAAATTTAAAAACAAGCATGAATGGAGGTATTAATGGGATCATTTACAGCTGTTAGGCCTTGTAGTAATGAGCAGTTTTCTATACATCATCTAAGGGGTCTTTATCAACCACTTAACTGTTAATAATAAATACTATATTTTCATGAAATTATAACCACATGTATATAGTGACTAAAGGTTCGATTCCCGACTGACGCACTCCTAAGCCCCACATAGTTTTCTTGTGGGTGTTAATCATGAGGCTAGCAGCCCAATACCTTAGAAAAAACACCCCTACAAAAACTTCAGAAGGTTGAAGCTTGAACTGTTTAGTTCCACTTGGAACGCGAAGGAATGTAATAAGCATGGCTAAATTGTGGCCAACAATGGATGTAATTTTTAAAAAAAACAGTCCGTTTCATTTAGATAATACTGACGTTTTAGCACCGGAAAAATCCGAATAATAACAATAACAGGTTTTTAGACTTATTACTAACTTAAATCAGGATGTAAGGGGTATCCCTAAACTACTGGAGGTGAAAAAGGCACTCAAAGGGCTGGTAGGCACAAACATGCATGAAATGGCTTAATTGAACCGCGCTTTGAAATATCATTTGTTTGCCATAAATTATGATACTACACTCACCAGGTGCTCAGTGGTCGGATTCTTTCAGGTCAAATGGGAATTTTGAGTTCGATTTTCGGCAGACACTCTCCTAAACCTTTTCTAACCAACAGTAGGTCCGAAAAGAATGATAAGCTGGGTATGAGACTGGCCAGTTCGCACAGTGAAAACAACAAGACCTTTGTTGAAACTCCAGTGCTTAGAGCCATATATTCCATTTGGGGAGCAGCGAATGGAAAAAAGCGTCTACTTAAAATCTCATATTTGATATTTCTTTCAGATGTTACGTAGGCATCACCTCTGACAGTCGTGGGGTGTGGACCATTTTTTTGTCGATGACATCAGACTATAATAAAGTTATGCATCAACTTCGCAGAGATGAACTTGGAATTCTATTTTTTTTCTGTATGTTTTTCTAAATAGGAGATTTGACGGTTCTCTTCAAAGATCGATCTACAGGAAACCAACATGGAATGGTCAGTTTTCATAGTTTGGTCACTTTGATGAGAAAGAGAAATTTGATCCACTCCTTATCTTCAAGAATATCCCTAAATGAATCTGATTCATGACGAAATCTAACAACTCAAATTAATTTAAATCCTCACACGACCATTAACAGTTCGATATTAGACCATCTAGTCCAAACCTGCCACAAAGCCAGCTACCATTGAAGAATCCTCCTCTATCATCCACCGGGTACCTAATAAATTGCCAAAATCATTGAAGCACGGCATACTGCAAACACCAGAGGCTATCACAATTTGCGTGAAACAACCAGTGCTCTGTGTACAAAAGAAGCAAGTCCAGTCACTACTACTGCCCTGGCCGGCCTTCAGTAGAGACTAGAAATTCATGAATATGTATTATTATCTTTCCTAATTTTTCTGACATTCAGCTTATTTTATGTTGATGCTACTGAGCTGTAATCTATTAATATTATTATTGATTCGATATTATTTAAACAACATCAATGTTGTTCGTAACACTAATTCATTCATTCCCTGTAATGTATATATAACTGTAAAGCCTGATGATGAAGTTATCGAAAAGAGTATTCTTTGTTCCGTGTCTATTCTTTATTCATTAGTGAAGATTTAGGGGAAAAACAGAAAGCTGAAAACGAATCTTTGTTTTAAATTTTTTTACTTTAATTGAATGAACAAATGCTTACACGCTTGTATATGTATATATCCAAACATTTACATACATTATTGGTACATATATTGGAATGCGTACATCATTGTAAAGAAGTTATTTCTTAAGAATATTAGTACTTATAGCAATAATAGTAATAGTAGTAGTTAATACCGTTTTAAGTAGTTGACTGGTGGTTGGTGTACACTTCGAGTACATTGTACATCTATAGATATATGCATATTCATAAAGATTTTTTATTGTTATTGTATATATATATATATATGTTTCTGTATGTAAATAAAAGGTCATATTACTAAATGTTTATTTTGTATTTTGATATATATATTATTGTATATATATTACGTATTATATTGTATATGTAGATAATTATGTATTTGCATGTTTGCGCCTGCTATGTCTCGACGAGTATTTGTTTGTGTTGCTTTCTGTATTCAGATATATTATATATCTATGTAATATCATAAGTATATAAGTAGATGGGTTTATAACTGGGTTGATTTCAAACAAAAGTGCATGTATACAATACCACAGAATAGTCAGTCAGTCAGTCCGTCAGCCAGCCAGCCATTCACTCACTCATTCCTTCATTCATTAAACAAGATATTACAAGATAGATAGTATACAATACTACTAATACTTCTAGTCTAGTAATTATTTGTATCACTAACTAAAGTAATACAAAAGAGTGAGAGAGAAAAAAAGAGAATGAAAAATATTACATTATTATTATTATTATTCAATACAATCAAATTTGGCGCCACCCAATGTAAATTTAATGTAATATAATCAAGAGACAAGTAAAACAAAACAAAAAAGAATTGAACAATATTTATGATTATTTCATATGTGTGGTACATATATGTATGTATATTATATCCGTGTTAGTTGTACAAGTGTGTATGTGTGTGAGAGCATGTGAAATATGATTTTTATTCATTTGCCTTTAGATTCATTCAATGAATTTTGAATGTTACGAATAAATAAAATTGCCTAGGAGGTGACTTCATGAAGGTGAAAGGAGTGAGTACACATTAACTTGAATTGAGATTACTCATATACCTGTTCAATGATGATGATAATTTCAATTTTATTAATTCGAATAGTTTGTTAGAGAAGAGATTATTTATTGTCAGTATATAACAAATGCAGATGTGTAATTCATAATAAATAGTGTATTTATTTATTTTCTGTACTGAATACTCATTTAACATTTGTATCCTCATTGATAGATTTATAAGTAGGTGTAAGATGGAAAGTTGAACAACTGGATTCTTTTTGCTGTCATTTAATTATCAACCATTTAGGAATTGGTTTCAAGCTATAAATTAAAGGTGGAATAAATGAAATACAATTAAATTAAGTTAAATATAAGGAAATTTTAATGTTTAAACAAAATATGTTGCAGAATTAAACTTTCATTATCAACAGTGTGCGTTGGTGGCACAGCGGTTAGGACGCTCGCCAACCATGCATATGATCCAGGGTTCGATCCCCGGCCGACTCACTCCTTTACCTCACTAAACCAGTAATAGAACTGGCAAACAGGAAAGGTTGGGCATGAGGCTAACAATCCCAACCCTGTAAAAATAATCATCCACTGGGAACGTGAAAGGATAGAAAAATAAATCAACAGTAACCCCTAGAAACGTACGTTTTTAGTTACATCAACATTTCTTAAACCTCAAATAGGTTTACATATGCATGAACAAGGTATTTTTTAAATTTTATAATCGAAGTCACAGATCAGTTGATATGGAATTAAACCTAAAACTTTCCAACCAATATAAAATAATGAATGTTTGTTGACTGGTCCGTCAAATTTGGTCCTGTGGTAATGATTACAGAATAAATCTATTATTAAGAGTAGTTCGTAAACTTTGACTTCATCAGGAGCATGCAGTAGACTGTAACAAATTTATGTAATAGCTCAACTAAAATAATATTCTCAAGTATTGTTTAATTGGTTGTAGGATTTCATTATCAGCTGACATCAGTTAGAGATACATTGGAAAACCAGCTGGGAGTACTGGGTAACTGTTTAGTCCTCCCAGGTGGTTTTCCGATGGTCCTCTAACTGATGTCAGCTTATGATGAAATCCTTCAACTAATGTAATATTCATTATCTCAGTTTTAGTTCCAAGTCTGGTCACTGTTTGATATCATTTAGAGAATCATTGAAAACTAGTTGTTTCAGCCTAGTTTGTGACTCTTCATCAGTACGCACTCATGATCCCATTGCTCGGGATTGAGTCTAGAACCTTCAGCTACGAGGTAAGCTCGTTAATCACTCAGCCACTGGGAAAAATTCGAACTGACAGCCCATGAATTCTAACTTCTGTCGATTGGCGATTTTCACCGGCATCACCATCCAATGTTATCGGTGAACGTTAATCTTCACATCTGATCTGGTAGACGTCACTGGTCACACCTTCTCAGTAAAACTTTAAGAAACTTTATCCCGTAGCTAATCATTTATGGGTATCAGAATAATTTCCACGTGTTAGTTTATAGTTTTGCTTTAAAAACTTCCTATTGATGATGTTTTTGTTGTTGTTTAGATTGCTTATGCAGTGAAGATCAAATGTATATTTACTCTTCAATGAATTGTACTCAGTGTAGAGCGGCAGTCAGTAAGAAACAGTCTATTCACTATGTGGGTATTTCTCTCGGTAACAAAACTGTGATAGATTACAGGATTTCATCATGAGCTGACATCGGTTTGAGAACCATTGGAAAACCACCTGGGAGTATTGGACAGCTGTTTCGTCCTAGTTTGGGACTGCGCACTGATGAAGAGTCACAAGCTAGGACGAAACAGCTCTCCAGTACTCCCAGGTGGTTTTACAATGGTTCTCTGACCGATATCAGCTCATGATGAAATCCTGTAACCAATCAATCAAATCTCTACAAACCAATACTTGAAAACTGTGATTATTTTTGTCATGGAAGTCAGTGATGTTAAATCGGCTTTAGAAAGTCCTCTTACATAATGCATGTATGACTTTACCAGGTGTGCAAAGACACCGTCATCACATTCCAAGTAGTCCGTTAAAAGAGATTATCAGTGCTACTACAGAAACGATTATTGATGACACTGCCTAACAAATACTTGAGATAAACAGTTCTGATATTATTAGTTGCAGACGTTCAGATGCTCCTTCAGATAGATATTTAGTTAGATCTGATAAATATGTTCACCTCTTGATTGACAGATATTTCAAGGGAGGTATTAGATGACATTGATTGATCATTAAGGTTTAACCAGTATCACGTTTATAGTGCCTTAATGTTGACTGAATTCTATCAATCAAGTTGGCAATATGGTCACTAAGCTAGTTGACTTACCATCCAAGATCTTCAGGAACATTTCACTCCATCGACATTGCCTATGCGCCTTACTGGTTAGTACAAATAGGGACAAGATCTAAGTCCACGACTTCCTGGTGGCTGCCACTAACCACTTAACACCAACTGAAATACTAGATGACTAGTAAATGTTTCCCCCTTGTTTGTTCAATAAATTTTTCCACATTCACTCGATAAAGTTGTAAGATTATTATTATTATCGTATAAAATAAGAGGAAATCTTTATCTAGTGAAACAAGTTGAAATTTACTGGATTTGTGACTGACTGTTGACATCTTAAACCAAAAAGTAGACCACGCAAAACCAAAAAAATTCTAGCTGCTTGCTACTGCTACTACTATTACTAATTATAATAATAAAGACCCCTCGATTTTACAAGTAGAATTCCATAAATGCTCATAAATATTTTACAGTTTTTCCAGATAATAGACTGCAGAAAATAAATTCTCACTATTGACACAATTCTGCATCGGTGCTTCAATGGTAGAATGCTCGCCAAACACGCAAGCGGTCCCGGTTCGATTTCCAGCTGATGTACTTCTAAACCTCGTTTAGTCAACAGGAAGTCCAATGAAGAGAGAAACTTGGATAAGGGGCTAGCAACCTATCCAGTAAAAACAACACCAACCCTGTTGAAATTTCAGAACTCAGGTTTGAACCCATTTGTTCCACGTGGAACGTAAAAGGAATGGAAAAAACACACTATAGAATTGAAATTTTTTGATGAACCTTACTAGTTACTGGGAAGATGTATAGTTTAATTAGATGTCAAATTATCTAATCCTAAAAACTCAAAACATCAAGAAACTTGGTTTCTATGAGGACTAGTGATTCACTACAACTTACAAATAAGATCTAAGCTAAAAACATTGAGGTGACTGAAAGTTTAATAAAAGTCATATCTGTTTTACTTATATCTTAAAAAGAGTAGTTGAAGAATAACATTATGCAATTCCTTTGTATTGTGAGTAGAACATACGGTTTCAAGCTTTGAAAATTCAGCGGTAGCGGTGTTAGTTTTAGTGGGTATGATTGCTAGCCGCAGGCCCAATCTTTCCTCTCAACTGGTCTTACTACCGACTCGTCGAAGTTTAGGACTGCGTCAGCCTGCAATCGCACTCCGACCACTTGTGTGGTAGGCGAGTATTCTACCCTTGAACCACCGAAAAAGAGATGAATAGCCGAATCTCCGTTTGCAATAAAAGTATCACACACAAGTAAATTAAGCATGACAGAGATTAAACAGAAACACAAGTCGGTTCATTGTACATGGATAAAAGTATAGCCGTTGATAATGATAGTAAACAATGAAATAAATCTAGATAGATGAGGTAAGAGATGATCCTAAACAGTACTGATCGAAATCAGTGAGCTGGTTCTAGGCTTACATATCAAAGGGAACTAACCAATATACCATGTTTCACCCAGATCTAGGTTACTTCTTATTATGCCAAATTCATTTCAGGCAATTAAGCATTTTGTCGATAAATTCCTGTGACTTGCAGTGATTTATTAGTAAATATATAAGAAGGGAATTATGCATTATTATATCATCCTCATACTGTTCAACTTTTAAAGTCAATTAGATTTCACACTTCCCTCTGTAGATAGATTCACGATACGAAGGGATGAAAAAATAGAAGAGAAGAGTATAGCATCTTATAACCTGCACTATCCCATTTGGTAAACTGTATATACCCTTTTCCAGCAGGCTGAAGGATTTTATGATGTAAACAAGAAGTTATTCATATTTATCTTTCTCTCATATTCTACTTGTCATTATTGATTGCGTGTTTCAAGGAAATAAATCAATATTAGAATAATGCTAAATTTTTTATTTTATTATTATGGTTATTAATATTATTATTATTACTGAAAATAATGATCTATTTCTTTTCCGCCAGCTAGATGAATTGTCATAGATATATTTTATTTCTTTAATTGCTATTCATGGTAGGCAAATAAACTGAAGAATATGGATTTTTGTCGGGTAACGCGTTATATCATGAACTGATACCTTCCAATTCGTCGGCTATATACGAGATATGAATGTTACTAACAAAAAGTATGCTGTCTTTCGACACTGAATCACTGTTCACCAATGTCCCACTTACAGAAACTGTCTGCTTTATATGAAAAAAAGTACATAGATGACAAACAGCTCATCATTGAAATACCAACAACATGTCTGAAAGAGCTGCTACTGATGTGTACTCGCAAAGTACAATTTACTTTTAATGACACCATCTACAGACAAAAGGATGGTATTGCATTGGGATCTCCCTTGGGTCCATTACTAGTAGACCGCTTCATGAGTGGTCTTGAGAATGACCCACTCAAGTTGTCCATTGATAATTTGCTATTGTACAAACGATACGTGGATGACATTTTCGTCGTTTGCGATAACAATTACGATAAAAATCAGTTGCTAAAAATATTCAACAGCTTCCATTCGGCAGTAAAATTCAGTCTAGAAATGGAGTGCGAATCCAAATTTCCCTTTCTTGGTGTGCAACTAACAAGACGACCTGACGGAACCTTAAGAAGGTGAATTCATAGAAAACCCACTTGGAACTGTCAATTAACAAGTTTCTACAGTTGGATACCTATTTAGAGGAAACGAAATCTGATTAAATTCATTGCCACTTGGATCCGACAAAACTACAGTCCTGACGCCTTGGTTGCAGAACTATATCTTCTGAAGGAAACCTTCATCCCAAATGGATACCCGCCAAGATTCATTGACAAGAATATCAAACCAAAGGTCACTTGTTTTAAAAAAGCTACTTAACGTGAATCTGGATTTCAGGGGAGAATCAGCTTGTGGTATAAACAAGAGAAGAATTTCAGTATCTTTGAAAAGAACATTCTTCGCAGCAACTCTAAGAGGAGTGTTCTCCAGTCGTCCATTGAATCTGAAGAAGCCTGAAGGACAAGATTTCGCATCTGGTT